AGGAAAGAAAAAAAAGAAAGAAAAGAAATTTTTATTTATTAAATTATATTTTTGTGCCAAATCACAATAATTTTATAATTAAAAATGCCACATCATTCATTTTATTTCCAAGTAATATTTAATATTAATAAAAATTGAATTTGTTAATCGAAAATTTTGCCACGTCAGCAATTAACTAACGGAAGGACAAAATTGATCTTAAAAATTGAAGTTTAAAGATTTTTTTAGTACTTTTTGAAGTTTGAGGGTAGTTTTAGTCCAAAAATGAAAATTGAGGGACTGAATCGAGAATATAACCTTTTGTAAAATGCGGGTTTGTGCCCTCAAAAGGCATTAAGAAATTCTATTTTTCCCTTTATCTTCCGCCCTCTTTGTTTTCTTTCTCGTTATCTTCCTTTCCTTCTGGTACTGCAAACCTTAAGGTATTGTTTGGATTGGAGGTGTCGGACGGAGAGGGAGGGGAAGGGATGGGGACGGATGGCAAGGGAGGGGGAGCGAGGGAGGGATGTCTCCTTTCTTCTGTTTGGATTTTCAAAAAGGCAGAGGGGGAGGGAGATGGATTGATTCGGACTCCCTCCAACCATCCTCAAATTTGTAGATTTGCAATTCGCCCGATTTGAGAGGTTTGGGAGGGATTTGAGTGACTGTTTGCATTAAATTAAATATAATTACAAAATTAACTTTAATTTTTTTATTATGTCCTTCTCCATTATAAGTTTAAAGGATAAATTTGTAAATTTAAAATTAATTTAAATATTTCCCTTCTTTCCCTTTCCTTTATCTTAATTATCCAAATATAAAATAATACAATCCTTCCTTTCCCTTTCCCTTCCTCATTTTTATTTATCCAAACAAAATTAATACAAATCATTTTCTCTTATTTTCTTCCCATCCCTTTCTGTTCCTTCCCCTCCATGTACTTTTATTTTCCTCCATTCCCCTACCTTCCCTTCCCTTCCCTTTACTATTTTCTGTCCAAACAAGGGCTAACACTTAACACTTGAAACCACCTCCGATTTCCCTCACCAAATCAATTCATCTTCTTCCCCTTGATTTTCCTCATCCCTTTCTCCTTCCAGATCTGGTTGTTCATCGCCCATCACTTGCTCGCCTAACAGATTCAGGAACACCACAAATCAAATCTCAAAGTCCACCCCAATCCGCCGGAATACGGCTCGAGTGGATGGTGCTAGGCTACGCTACCGGTGTTGACTATCATGGTGCTCCTCTAATGATTTCTCCAGGTTCATATTTTCATCCTCTATTTGATTTCAAAAGTTCAACCAGAGTTTTTTCTGTTTTCTAAGCTGGTTTTCGTTTGATTATTTGGTGATTGTGGTGGTTGATATGCAATACGGGACTGGGATCTTGACTCAATGTAAAAACGTTTTGCTCTCCGAGTTCCATTACTATTCCGATCTTGTTTAGTGTTGGTGGGTTCGCTGAACCAAGATCTGGAAATTGGGGTGATAGATAGGTTTTGTTTTTATTAAATGATTTTTGCTGATTATCTTGTAATATTGTAGGAGAGAGAAAGAGATTTGCAGGGAACACCAAGTTGGGGCAAATTTGAGCTTCCAATTTTACCAGATCCCCTTTTGAGCTTTCCTTTAGCCTCTTTCGAAGTTCTCGGTTGACTGCTCCACTTCATTCATCTCCTCTCTGTTTTCGTTATTCGCTGCCAAAGCCAAACAATTTCCGCCTTAGATGTTTCATTTATACCATTGAAATAACTGATCATGTTCCCTTCCTCTCCATCATAGCTCCCTGCAAAGACTTATGGTGGAGAGTGCACTACAAATTCAAGAGACTGTCTGTTCTATCATATGCGTAGAATATGTTTCATGTATTATTTTCTGTTTGAATGGTGGGTTTTGTTCCTTTTTATTTTTGGATAGCTCCAGGTTTTTAAAATTAAAATCTTCATTCTTCTTCATTAGGCAGAGGAACACCTGGAGATAATGGGCAAAATAGCAATGAAAGAGGAAAAAAGCAATGGGTTATGGCCCAATGGAAAATTCAAATTAGGAGGATGAGGGTAGTGGATCTGGAAGATGATAATGGTTGCTTTAGATGCATGGTTACTTTGTTTTTTATTTTATTTTATTTTATTTTATTTTTGTATTCATTTCCATTTTCCCTTGCAACAATTATTTATTTATTTATTTATTTTAGTTCTACTTTTTAGCTGGTCGCATTTGCGGAGATTTGAGAAATTTTTTTTTTTTTTACTGTCTCATTTCTTTTGCTAACTATCTCACAACTTTTTACACGAAGATCTCCTTTTTTTTAACCTTTTCTTCTAGATATTTTGAAAATTGTACCTGTTTTCTTTCCAGATGTAGGTGTTCTGGGTTTTTATCTTGCTTTTATGATTGTTTATTTTGTAGTTTTTTTTCTAACTTTTATTGTCAAGTTGTGCTACTCTGA